ATGCACCCCCGAAGCGTCCAGAAATGCCACTCTAAAACTTAAAATTTGAATATAATTTTCCTTTTCATTTAATTTAGGGGAAGGGCCCTGGCTGGCCAGCTGCATCTCCCTCACTTAATCTGCCACTGGTTTTGAGAACTAACATTATTCAGTGTTTTTATTTTCCAATGTTCTGTAGTCTATAAAAATTGTTGAGGCCTAACGATGAATATAGCCACTTTGATATGTTAAGAAACTGATAAAAAAATTAAATCAATTTAATTAAAAACATTGTCGAAGTGTCATTAATTATATCACAAGGTAAAATTATAGCACAAGGTAAATAAAACATTATTACATTTAAACATAAAAGAAATAACGTATGTCAATGGTGCACTATGAAAACAAGCCTAATATTATTGGGCATTGAAAATACTACATTTTTACCATAATGTAAATGTTATATTATAAGTAAATGTGGAATTCATGGCAATCGCGAATGAACAAAACAATTACAACCGCTACACGTCGTGCAAGAGATTGGTAGACGTCAACAATATATATAATCGAGAATTCATAAAATTCTGATTTGAAACATGGTCCTAGTGAAAGCAATAAATCCCTTTGTTGTTGTTTCTAAGCGAATAAGTTCACTATCCGAGATTCTATCGATTTCGTTGTAAATCTTCGTAAAGCGCTTGCACATTCGCGACTTGCAAATACGTGGTGGAATTCTGAATAGAGGTGGAAGGGAGGGACTTCAACATATGGGAGCCGTGGCGGATTCAGTAATTCGAAATAGAGAGGGTCCGGGGAGGGACTTTATAGAGGCCAAGGTTCACCCACCTCAACCAGCCTAACCATGGTAGAGTCTGAGGAAAGAAAACTTATAATTATGGCACATGATGGCCTGAAATGGCACTCGCAGAAACCATTGAAAGAGATGTTCTGAATGCATCGCATTTTACCAGTGGAAAAAACACAATTGTATGTTGGCTATGTAGGCCTAGTGTAAAGTTTAACATCGGTGCTGGAGACATTTGATCAAAATAATGTTCATGGTCGGATGCACAAAAATGTGTATTTTTTTTTTTTTTTTTTTTTTTTTTTGAATAGCTTTCCAGGGAAGAATGATTCAGTGTGGCCCGCGGCCCCTCTTCCTCCTTATTTTTCAAAATTATTTTTAAAAAATAGAGAAGAAAAGAAAATGTAGGCCTAATTGAAGTCTCAGAGTTCCATTTCTGGCCATTTAGATGTGCGATAATCATAAATTTCGTTATTTCAGCCCCATCCATGGCTGAGGTGTTATTGACAACCTTCTGCTGTGTAAAGTCCTGCCACGGGCCCCGCATCTATTTCGAATGCAGTAAACCCAAGTACATGCCCTTGTTTTACTAGACACCCCACCTGCAAATGTCTGGATCCGCCCCTGGTCTAAAAATCTACTGGACCCCCACATTTTTCGCGGACCTCCTGCGGACCCCTTGACTTGGCTGGCGGACCCCCGATTGTTTTCCAAGGTTAGACAACAATTGCAAAGTACCACACTGTTGGTCTCAGTATACGAGATTCTGCCTCAAACGGATGTAATATATATTGTATATATATGTAATGTATATACCGTTCGCCGTCCAAATTCCCGACCCTGTTCCCATTTTGAGACATCTCCAAATAGAAGGAATTCTTCGAATTAAAGGACGGGTACATCTCCAATTTGAGGGCGAAATTCAGTCGCCTAAATAAATATTAGGTCGCAGATCTACTAGTCTACTATATGGAGGCCATTTCATGATTGTTTAATTCTCCATTTGATACTGCTTTCACACTCAACCCGGTATTGTTCGCCATTGATATACATAAACAGAGTATATTAAATGCTATTTTAATTTGCCTTAAAATTTAAGTGATTCCATTAAAGTAATTTTTCTTCTACAGTAATCTGTTAGTGCACTCACTCAATCAACTGAACAACAAAATACTGTACTTTCATATTAAATATTAAATTGTGCATTTAAATGAAGGAGAAAATGGCTGTTGTTTTCATAAAGGCAAAATTGGACAGCAGGAGATATTTAAATTGTTTTGTCCTGGAAGCATTTTTTACAAAAAAAGTGGCTTTGGTTTGTGTAATAGTGGTATCGTCCTAACAATCTGATTGGTCGAGATGGATCGAGCGGGTAAGTTGAATGAATGAAATATTTTGTAAACAGCTGATTTCCGCTTTGTCGAGTCAGCGCTTAACTTCGCCAACCAAGCCTCAACATACTGCGTATTTCTCTCGGAACATCGAAGGAGAAAACGAAATAAATACGCAGAAATACTCTTATAACTGAGCCACTAATCAAGGTAAGAAGATTTTTTTGTTATGTAGGCCTCTTCCGAAAATCTAATTTATATTTTAAATTGAGGTCTATTTGAGTAGCCTATTACTTGACTTGACGTTGTTTTCTTCTAAGCACGCCATTTTGTACAAAAACGAACAATTAATGGCCTAGCTAGAATACATTTGCTAAACTTGTTAATGGTCATAAACCTTCAATTACAGAAATAATGGCTCAGCATTTTGGAGGCACAACTGTATTCATGGATGTTGAAAATAGACACACTTCAAATAACCAAATTAATCGGAAATCAAAGAGGGAAGATGCATCAAATCGAGGACAGAATGGTCCACAGGCAACAAAAAGGGCGGCGCTGGTCGCTATTTCAACAAATACTTCAACACGGATTCAGCCGTTTAGGGCGGTAAAGCAGGTGTGTGAGTGTTCTACACTTGGCCTATAGGGCCTAGCCTAGGCCTATCCCTACTACTGTTTACTAACTTTGATTTTGGTAAAGCTACTACTAGCTAAGGCTAGGCCTACAGAAGGTAGGTGTAGACCAAGAATCGGATCTTTTCAGAAAAGTGTTATGCCGGCGACCGGCAATAGGCCTATGGCTATGCCAATATTGATATTTTGCCGGTCTGTTTCTCTAATTGGCTAACGTAAATTATGACGTTATCAACCCTTTTCGAGAGGCAGCTGCAAAGGATCTGGAAAAAGACATCGCAGAGAATCCTAAACACCATGTCGGCGCTGATGCACCTTCGCACCTAACTTTTAATTCTTAATTTTTTTTACCTCAGTGTTCTCAGTCACAACACATAATTATAAAATATTTTTCATGATTTTTACATGGGAATAAATATATTCATTATATTTATCGACAAACAATATAAAAATGAACAATACAAATACATAGAAATTACTCTAGGTCCTGTAGAACCATGGAGGAGTTTCTTCCATGGTGGAACTAGGCCTAAGTGCGATGTGAAAAAAAAAAAGTAAATTGGAATAATGAATAGGCCTATAAATTTACTCGCATGGATTTTTGATATTCTGTTTATCATGTACGGTAATTTAAAAATCCAATTATTGGAAAAAAAAAGTTTCAAGGGGCGAGTTTGCATATATATTATTGGTTTTTAATAAAAAAAATTTTACATAACCATATAACACAATTTGAAAAAAAAATTCACTTATATAACAACCGTATATGTGGAACACATTTTGTAAAAAAAAAATTCAGTCAATTTGATTACTTAAATAGATATCCTGATAATTTTAAAATTTAATGTGAAATGTTTGAGGGTTAGTAGTTTTGCAGTTTGATTCAACAGCAAAAACTGAAGGGAGGTAGTTCAACCTGTCATCCAACAACACTAGTAGAATTCACAAAATAATACCATGTTGTATTATTTAACACGTCCTAGTAATTTTAGTAAGGTTAAAAAGAAAAACTATTTTTCTTCATATTTCTAATTTGCTGAAACTGTCATAAGGAATTGTCAGCCCTGCTGTAGTTAAAGGGTAGCGCGCACATGGATATAGGTTACCACCAGGGGTTTAGCCAGAAAAATGAAATAGGACGCCCAAAATGGAGTGGCACTCAGTCGATGGGCGGACCATGCCCCTTCCCAAACATAGGAAAAAATAGAAAATTATGATCCTTAGAGGGGATTTAAAGGTGTTTGAATTTTGTACCATTTGATAGATTTGAAGAATATAAAGAATTTGCTAAAGGTAGACAAGGCTCAATTAGGCTAGACCGAGCTGATTAGGCCAAGTCGTCACGGCAAAAGTGGCCATCCTAAATAATTGTAGGCCGTCCAAAAGACGGCTCGCTGGCTAAGCCTATGTTTACCACCAAAATAAAATAGGATTACTGTATTACCTAAAAAAATAGTTAATAAATAATGGTTTTGGAAATCTGGTTGTGCTGTAATTTTTCCTTTATACTCTACTACAGCAGACAACAGAATTATCTGAGAATGTTTACCAAGACGAAAATGCATTGGTCAACCGAACTAGTAAGCAACCTTTCTCAATTACCTGTGGGAGGCCCACTGCCTTCTCTATTCATGTGGATTCTGAAGGTGTATCGTCGTCAACAACAAAGGAGCACTCGATACCAGCTATGTTACAACAACTGCCCACAGCAGTGACTACGTCAAGTAGACAACCACTTTCAGAAGTTTTCCTTAATTTAGATCAAAGTGCAGGTGAGCCGCAACACATTGTTTTTTATATTATGTATGGCATTCCATTGCTTTAAATGTAGGCAGAAATTTTTTTGAAAGATCTTCAGAGACTGGTGAAAAATAAATTTGTTTACTTTGTCAAATAAAATAAAAATAAAATTTTATTGTTGAATGTAATGTGATGGTAGAATGCTTTTAATTTGTATAAGTACATTTCTTAATTTTGGGAGATTTTGAGGCAGCAGTGGCAGGGGCAGATCCAGGATTTCAAGGAGGGGGTACAGAAAATTCCCCAAAAAAGAGGGTCCGGGACCTCCCCGGGAAAATTTTGATGGTCTGAAATGAGCTTTTCCGACTTCCGAGGTGTATTTTATTTTAATTTTTGTTCTTCAAATTCCCTCTCTTGAAAAAGGTCAGATGATTTTATCTCATTCTTAGGCCTATACATAGGGAAAAATATAAGACACAGGCCTAGCCAATATACTACTATATTCTAACAATATTGAGTAGTTGGATATGTAGTCTTTCCTCCATGGATCGGTAGGCCTGAAGAACGCACTTTCGTACATAAATTAATGACTCTGCGAACCAAAAACTGTTTGTTAAATTTATTTAATTGAAGGCTAGTTGGGCTAAGCCTATGCTACCTATGCCTAGGTAGTTTAGCATGCCTTTGGTAAGCCTGGACCCATTAGTATTTTGTTACGTTTCTTCACAGAGGGTTCATCCGAACCCCTTGATCCGCCACTGGGTAGGCGTAATTTAAAGAACTATCTAATGAAATTTCCAGTTTCTTGTAGCTCGCTAATTAGCCAAAAATGGGTTCGCGAAATAATGTATAAAAAAGGTCTCGCCTCAGTATGCTTAAATCCTTGATCCATTAACATAACACAAATGTTTCCTAACTGTTTAACAAGATTGTTTAAACGCAGAAGTATAAACACACCCACCTGGACCTTACTGCATGTGATCTACCCCTCAAAATATTTAGTCAATTATCTTTGTACCTCAACCAAAAAGCCTACATTATCTGATAGTTTCCCTCCTTCATACAGTCCTTCATGCGACTGTCACATGTTTTCAATTGAATACATGGTGGATGAGGAGGCATGGTTGGTAAATAAATATTACACAAAATTACAGGATTGTAATATGCCAGTTAGAAATTAACAGAAGTCAAGCATATTGCAGTGCTATAATTGTGAACCAAGGTTGGCATTTGTGAACTATGATATCTGTAATCATCAATATTTATTTTTATTATTACTTATATTATAAAGTATTACTTGCTTGTAATTGAATTTTATTAATCAATTTATTTGAAGCATTCTTTTCTATCAATGTTTCTTAGCTTTCGGTTAATTAGAGGCAGACTCAAAACCTTGATGGCTTTTTGTGTCCTCACACAATCTTGCTATTATTATAATCAATTAGCTATTATTACTTACATTATTGTATGACATTGTCCTTTTTAATTTTTTACTTTTCAGAATTATTTAATGTATTTTTGTTTTGTGTGAAAAAAGATATTGAGAATTTGCTTTGTTGTTACAGATTCACCAATGGTTCTAGATGCATCTATGCAAAGTGAACAAGACACTAGTGAGAGAATAGTAGATATTGAAGAAAATGATGCAGAAACTCAATCTGCAGCAGAATATGCTGCAGACATCTACCAGTACTTAAAAGAAGCTGAAGTAAGTTTTTAACATTCTATACCACATTGTTACATAATAACTTGGATGATTTTTACCATTGTGTACTTGCTATGAATCCATGGCAGCCAAGTACACCACCACCTGGTAATGAATTGGGTTTTACATTCAATAGTTCTTGTACTTGGGACCAAAGTCTTAAATTTCGCTTATAATAAAAGAAAACATTGCGTTATAACCCTTATCGTAATTGGGTTACAATCAGCTGCAGTAGGCTGCTGCTTATGAGTTGTGTCATCCTTCAGCAAATAAACTTTGTTTCTTGATTTTTCTCTACAGCAAAAGCATCGCCCAAAACCAGGATATATGCGCAAGCAGCCAGACATCAACTCAAACATGCGTTGTATTCTCGTTGACTGGTTGGTAGAGGTAGCAGGAGAATATAGATTGCATGATGAAACGTTATATCTTGCAGTCTCATACATCGATCGATTCCTATCTCAAATGAGTGTACTTCGTAGCAAGCTGCAACTCGTGGGGGCAGCAAGCATGTTTGTAGCAGCGTGAGTAGCTTTTTTAACGATCATTACTTTGCTCTTATGCTTGTAAAAATTATCTTAATCACAAATTAATAACTACTACAAGATGTATGATTTTCTGTAGCTGAGTACACTATGTTGGTCTCATCAGCTGCTTGCAGACAGCGGAAATGTGTGGATGCAATGTTAATTCTTTAAAGAAATAAAAACACCAAGGCATTTAATTATAAAACAGACGGTCATTATAATCATGATTGTAATGCATTCTCGAAACACTAAATAATTTAAATACTGTAACTTGCCAAAGCTTGTGAGTCCAAGTGTTAATTTTGAAGTTAATACTTGTTTGTTATAGGAAATTTGAAGAAATTTACCCACCTGATGTTGGCGAGTTTGTGTACATCACAGACGACACATACAAAGTTAAGCAAGTACTGAGAATGGAACACCTTATACTCAAAGTGTTGTCCTTTGACCTCGCTTTACCAACTATTAACAGTTTCCTGAGTAGATATTTGAAAGCTACAAATGCAGACAACAAAACAGAACACCTGGCTAGGGTTTGTAAATTTTTATTTTACTGTATTTATTTCAGTATATATTTTGAGCTTTTTTCAATTTGCCAACTAATGTACAGAATATTAATGTAAAACTTGCTTCTGTTTCGCAAGGCAATTTTTTCACTTTGGAGGTATAACCAAGAAAAAGTGCGTCTTAACTATAAAATATAAAGTAAAATAAAGCTTAATCCAAATGATGCCTGTATCTAGTGATGTTTGTGGTCTTCAGTTCAGCTTCTGATATATGCAAGTGGTTCTCCTTGCTAAATTGTGTCACGTGGCCACTAGCTACTGTCATAACATCAGTGTATACATTTGACTCGTGTGCACTTGCATCATTTAGAAGAGTAGGGGTTACCCCAATGTTATGGTTCATTTCAGCCCCTGTTGTTGTGGAATGATGTGAACATTAGCTTCTATGAAGCTCCTCATTAAGTTTGCTAGGAGGTTGTCACGAACCACGCCCATACGCAATTAAGCACAATGACGCTGGTATTCTCTTACCTTTACCTTTAAATTCACACAGAAATTGGCATATTTTCTCGTAACAGTGACTACAGTACCCCAAAAAAATTGTTTTTGCTATCATTTGCTTTTCAATTATTAAACACTAAAATTGACGTTTAAACAGCTATTATTTAAATAATTGTTTATTTTTTTCAGTATTTGGCAGAGTTAACGCTACAACAATATGACCCATACATCCGGTATCTGCCTTCGTTAATTGCAGCCTCAGCTGTATGTCTAGCTAATCACACCATGGAAAAACCTGCATGGGTATGTTGATATATTTTGATTTATTTGGAATAAACAGTATAAAAACTTCAACAGTACTTTTCAACAGTAGTACTTTTCATCTAGTGTGGAATCTAATCTGATGTCATAGATGTTGATGACGTCAAAGATGAGATTACCCTCAGTTTAGTTTGGGTTCAAAGTTCTAATGTCTTTGCATCCAGGATTCTGTATGGAAAATCTCTTAGTCCCTTATCTAAAACTTTCACATTTTCCTAGTCGATGTTGTGACACATCAACATGCTCTCTTATATCAGATTTAGAACTAGCACCTTTTGACTTGCGTTCTGCAAGCCTAGATTCGCAAATATAACGAGCGTCAGTCCTTGCAAGGAATACTGTATACCACCCCTGACTGCTTCTTCGATGCAGTTTTATCCTACTAGGGCCCTTCTAAGTGTGTTCTCGGGTCTAAAAGACGTGCTAACACCTGCTGAGGCAAAGGCTCTAATAAAAGATGTACATTGAAAATGTTCTTGCTGGTATTATTTTGTCAACTTGTTTTTTAGGACTTGTCTGTTGGACAGTCCATTCCCCATACCCACTGAAACATGGGAACTTCTAATGCTAGCCTTCCAATCTTGCAGCCACAAGTACTTAATCATGTACAATTTGAAAGGTTTTCAGGGGTTTTTTTTTTTAATTTTTTTAATTTAGTCTGCTTTGTTGACTTATCACACTGGATATAAAAGTGAGGAAATTAGCCAGTGTGTCAAGGATCTTTTTCAAACATTCATCAACGCACCAAATTCACCTCAACAAGCCGTCAGAGAGAAGTACAAAGCACAAAAGTAAGTGCCGCTTTAAATTATTTATTTTAATAAATTTCCAGGTAACAATACAACAAAAATATGAGATTTTATTACAATACCCTGAGGATTAACATGACTGCAAGCACTATCAGAGCAGTGCTCCGTATTGCATCCTATTGTATACTAAACATTAAAACTACCTGAAGGTTTGATATAAAAATGAATGCTTTCGTCTAACATGTAAATGTTTGATGTAGTGTATTTAGCATACCTTATAGTAGTATCGTAGTGTGTGCTCTAAATTGTCTTTTTGGTCAAATTACTCGGTAATTACTCACCACCCAGGTAAATAACCAGGCGGTTTTCACAAGTGTTGTGTAACAGCATCATATTACAAAGATACGAAAATAAGTAAAATAAACGTACTGTACTATCTTCTTGCACTAGTTCTTACCAAAGCAACAGTGGTAGCGCCAGGAATTACCCGACGTCCCTAACACGGTTGGAGTAAATTTTCAGAATAGGGACATACAGAATTTTTTTTTTTTTTTTTAGTTGTAAATTAAAAAAAGTTTCTTCCACATTGGGTCCAGGATAGGTCGAGGGTTATGCAAAAATTGTCATTAATTTTATTAACTCTTTTCTCCATTTTCCAGGTTCAGTAGTATTTCCTTAGTACCAGCACCTGTCACAGCGCCCTTGTTATGACTAGGGCCTTCTTCTGGTGCCACACCGATTTTAAAACGTCTTCGAGTGTTTGAGCAGTTGACGAGTACTCGATAAGGAACACGGAATAGCAGCGTTTATTCAGAAGTTAAATCATGTAAAAAACAATAGGTTTATTCTGCACATAATTTTGAATATGTAATTTGCGATTTTAAAAATCGGTTCTCTCACAAATATTAATGAAGACTTTTTATGCGATTTTAATAAGTAGGCTGCTTCCCTACCAGCTGATGTATGCTACTTTATTAATGCATTTTAATTATTCATTTAAGTTAGTTTTATTTCCTGGTTTTAAACATTGCTTATATAAGTTACTGTTCAATATTGTACATTTATTATTCTTGCATGACAAACATTGGGTTATTGTTATAGACTTAGTAAATCAATACAAGTTTTCATATTGGAATGCTTTTGTAACTTTTTGGTATTGTCAGACCCATTTAATTTACCTTGGCAAATATGTATTTTGTGTGTATTGTATATAAATTGAGTGTAATAAAGAATTTTATCTGTAAAATACATTTGTTTTGTATCCAGTAATGTGATGTTAAGTGCCTCTAATATATGCTGCACCTAAGCACTGCAAGTATCCCTGCGTTTCATTGCGCCTGACGGTAGTTGCCGACGCGAATCTATAGAGAATGAAATGCCACAACATGCGCATGCCATGTTGTCTTGCGACCAAAGGGAGCGGAGTCGGATTCGACTGTCATACGATGCAGTGATTGTCCGACTTTAGAAATTACACGCAACTGTTTCAGAATGTTATGGATCCGTTGATACTACTGCCAACAAGTCATAGGCTTATTCCTATGTACAATGGTACCATTTTGCATGTACTACAATACTGTAAATTATGGCGCTCTCATGAGTTTCAGTTGCACTTGCTGCAACATTGCTCCTACATGTAGCAGTAAAAGCAACAACCACCTGAAAGCAACTCAATAACAAATGTAAAGGTCTGGTTACACTATGACGATCAACGATAAGATAACCAAATACTGTATTCATATTTGGTTTTTTACTTAGCGCCTTTCTTTCATTGGGTCCACATGCATAAGTGTTGCTGCTGTATTCAGCGCAGGAGCAAGCAACCCCACTAGGTACTCTACCCATATATACCCATATATACTCCTGGGTGGAGTGAAGCAATGCAGATAGTCTTGCTCAAGGACACAAGCGAAATGCACAGGGAAGGAGAAGTTTTTACACTACCACGATTCAATAACGATTTATCGTGTATATGACAAGTATTTTCACAAACCAAATCAAATGACCTCAGATTGGAAAATGATCGTTTTACTACTACGATTTTAATTATTTTACATGATTATGACGTCATTTTATTTGGTGCGTGAAAATATTTTGAATTGATCATTATCATCATAGTGCAATTTTATTTGAGTTTATATTCTAGTCACTAACGTATAAGATGTCGAAACTGTTCGAATTATATGTATTATGATTTTTCATCTGCATTTAATGCCATTCAACCTCGCCTTTTTGTTGACAAATTAGTTTGCATGAACATTCCAATTCCCTTAATTTTCTTTTTTTTATATTGATTAATCGTTCAGTTACACCAATACGGGCGCTCCTCTGGGAATTGTACTAGCCTGCTTTTTATTTAGTCTGACTATGATCAGCTGTAACATTACAGTTATAAGTTTCCTGTTATAAAGTTTGCTGATGGTACAGCTATGTTGGGATTAGTTAATGACGATGACACTCAGATCGAACACATCCAAAACTATTCGGGGTTCGAAACTCTCGCTGTGCAAATCGCTTGTGTCCTTGGGCAAGGCACTTTATCTTCGGTTGCCTCTCTCCACCCAGGAGTACAAGTGGGTACCTGGTAGGTTCGAACACTGCGCTGATTAACTAGCCGCAATATTATACGAGACTGTGGTATGTGGTGCCTACTGCCTCGTTTGCTTGGTTGGTAACGTCACTCGGGGATAAGAACAGGATCGATCGTCTGATCAGGAGGGCAGGAGTAAAGGTTTAGATCAGCAGTTGGTGGAGTTATAAGATTACATCCACTTTATCATCATCATTAAGCGAAGTGGTAGGCTAAGGCCTCCAACCGTCCACACCAATCATTAGGCAATTTCTGTTCATTTATTCCTGTCTGGATTAATTTCTATAATTTAAAATTTTAAACGTTAATATTATAACAGCATGTATACTACTATCGGACTCGGTTGTTTGCATGATAGTGAAAATGTTACCTTTCAGAGTCTGCGCTTGTATTATATTATATTTCGTTAATATTATAATTATTTTATGGTATGAATATATTTAGATTGTACTTTGTTTTTAAAGATTTATGTGAGCATTGAGTGTCCTTCGATGATCTGTAGCTACTTCAGCGTATTTTTTTTTTTTTTTGCTTCAAAATGTCCAGTAGGGATCGGGTAAGCTTTTTGTGGGAACGTTCCCTTCCTCCATGAACCCAATATACTGTACTTGCGCGAATAAGCGCCCCTCCTAACGTCAAAATTGTCTTAAGCGTCCCGTTTGAATAAGCGCCCATCGATTCCCAAAAAAAAATTCAATCATACAGTACAGTACATCACCAACATCAACTATTCGTCTTAGCATTGTCGGTCGGACAGTCCATCCAGGGGTGGCGCCAGCATTTAACCGATTGAGAGGGGGCGAAGTCCCCGAAGATGGGCCCGATGCCCCGACGAGGGGTCAGATTTCCCCGACGAAAGTAAAGTGGGCGTGGTCGAGCTTCGATTAAAAGATTACGAAAATGATCTGTGGGGTGAAGCCCCCCGAAAATTTTGACAATTTAGGGGTTTTAAAGGCTTATTTAATCGATTTTATAGTCTACTAATATGTAGAAAATACATATAATTTTTTTTCCTCCCCGACGAATTGTGTTTTTTCTCCCCGACGGGGGTAGCCGCCCCCTCCCCCACTGGCGCCACACCTGGGTCTATCATGAGTCTCCATTGAGTTTAACATGTTTTTCAGTTTTGATGCATCTTTAGAATGCCTTTCTTGTTTTATTGATACCCTTTTTGGATTTAAAATTAAAATACTGTATGGCCATTTTCAGTCAAGCAAAATAACTGACCTCATCATTATCGTATTTCAGCAAGAAACCTTACCCTGCAATGATTGTGCTAATCTGAATTGGCAGATGGCCAACACGCTTACCAACACCACCACTAATTTTTTTCGAAAATTTATGAGCCATGTTCTCTCGATGATTACATTTTCTTCACCAAAACCATTCGTCGTGCCCCTTGAATTTTCCAATTTCCCATAAGCACCTCTCCAATTTTCATCTATTTCCATAAGCGCCCCCTCAATTTCTACTCTGTTTTCATAAGTGCCCCGTTTGAATAAGCGCCCCTCAAAAAGCGCCCGGGCGCTTATGCGCGCGAGTACGGTACGTCACTGCACCCACAGCCATAAAAACATCGAAAATGTGTATCAAAAGTGATACGATTTGCACGTTAATATTATGGCTGCCGTCTCCATTTCCTGCCGTCTCCATCCTATCTCAATAGGAAATCTTTATTTCTTCCTGATAAATGCTATTGTTCATACCATCATTATAATAAAAGGCGTCCTATTACACTATTATGAAAGTTATAGATTTTATTTTCTCCAGGTTTAAAAAACAGAGGCTGTATAGTCATAAAGGTTTAGTTGAATTGGAAGCCTATGTGCACTCCTTCCATTTAAGTCATTTTATCGACTGCATTAACCAATAAGGAACGGTTGATAAAAGAAACGTCCATATTGCGTTAAATCCAACATTATTTTAGAATATTTATTGATCTACAAGTTCCTTTGAATTTGTGACGATTTTGTTATGACTTCACAGAGGATAATCTAATCAGAATTGATTGTATCCCTGGTATTCAATCTGTGGGTCGCGGCCCAAATTAGGGTCGCCAAGATATTTTTGCAGAGTCGCGGGGACGTTTATGCATCGGTGGAATTGTTGTCGATGATATGTAATGGTTTTCCTTTCTTTGTACAAGTGTGTGTGTGCGCGAACTATTGTTTCCTGAAATAAAACGCGTTTCACCGTACTACAAAGTAGAACTATAGTAGTTACTTTCTTCTATCATATTGGTTCTTGTGTTTCCTTTATAAGTCAGTAGGTGTCGGAGAGGAACTCCCTTACAGATAGGCCTACCCCCTCCAGGGGCGGATCCAGAAATGTCCAAAAAAGGGGGGGGGGGCCGAAAGTTGGGACAATTGAGACAACACTGTCGCAGGGGGTCCGGGCATGCCCCCGCGAAATTTCGGTGTTCTAGACGCCCGAACATAACATTTGAGGCATTCTGGGCTATCATTTTTTTCTTTTTCTCTCTTTTTTTTCTTTTTTTTTTCTTTTTTTTTACCTCCCAAAAGGGCGGGC